CCTGTAGAACTGCTCCCTAGGGTTTTCTGTAGAACTGCTCCATAGGGTTTTCCTGTAGAACTGCTCCCTAGGGTTTCCTGTAGAACTGCTCCCTAGGGTTTTCTGTAGAACTGCTCCATAGGGTTTCCTGTAGAACTGCTTCATATGGGATTTCTTGGCTGGGAGCTTTGTGGAAGCTGATTTCCAGGCCTTTCTTACAAAACACAGGCAAAAGGAAACAGTCCGATCAACTCCAAGGGCAGGAATGGAATATAGCTGGCTCTCCTGGCATCTGCCTGGGAAGTTGTTAGACTGTGGGGCTGCTCCTTCTCCCTGGGCACATCTGTTGACTACCAACCAAGCTTCACCCCACTTTTGGTTGTCACCTTGGCTGGAAATCTGCCATAAAGCCCTTAAGCTTGGTTCCCATAGCTGATGTCTCTGGTGTCTCTTTCTTAGTAATTTTGAACATCTTCTGGGCACCCTCTTCTGCTTGTCCCGTCCTCTGTGGCACTGATGGTTTCTGAGAGACAGGAGGTCATGTGGTACAGAGATGTGCCTACTCAAGGGGTGTGTGGAACGTTAAATAACATGAAGGTTCCCTGCATGGGCTAGGACGGCAGACACCCTGAAGATTCGGAGACATGCAGGGGCTTTAATAGACCTTCAGAAATTGTGTGTGTTGTTGTTTGCTTGACTGTTTGCTTAGTGACTTGGCTGGATGGTAGTGGAGCCAATGTGTTTTTCCGCCATGAGAAGCTATTGACCCTCCTTGGAGAGTGTAGCCTTGGACGGGCAGTCTTGGATGGGCTCTGGGCTAACAGTGGTTTTAGCAGGGCCATCTCTCCAAGTGCTCTATTGTGATTGTCAGTGTCTTGAGGTACAGATCACTCCACACAACCTGGTGGCACCCCGGGTTAAGCTTTGAGCTACTTATGAAAAGGTATGCCATTCAAGCCCACCAGCCACACTGAGAAGAATGTGAGTTTTTTGCATGTAGAGCTCTATAAATGTCTATCAGGTCCAGTCACCAAATTGTAGTGTTTAGCTCTGTAGCCTCCTTGCTGAGCTTCTTTCCCAGTTATCTATCTTTCTGTGATAGCAGTGTATTAAAGTCACCTGCTATGATTGTTGAGTCTGTGATTTCTTTTATCATCTTTTGAATAGTTTGTTTGACAGATGTTGCTGGTTTCTCATTAGGCACATGTAAATTTATTATGCTCACTGGTTCCTGGTCTACTGATCCTTTGAGCATTATATAGTGCCCATCTTTATCTCTTGTTATGGTTTGCACCTTGAAGTCAATTTTGTCAGAGATTAGGATTGCAACCCCTGCTTTTTTTAAGTTGCTGTTTGCCTGAAATATTTTCCACCAGTCTCGTATTCTTAGTATATTTTTGTCTGCAAGCTTTAGATGTATCTCTTGCAGGCAACAAATTGATGAGTTATGTTTTCTGAGCCAGTCTGCTAACCTTTATCTTTTAATGGATAAGTTCAAGCTGTTGACAGTCAGAGTTATTAGCTCCATCTGTGGATTCATTGTTAGCATCTCATACTTTTTGTGTTGGGTATTTTCCTATCTTCCTTCATATCAGTGTGCTGTGTTTATGCGGGGGCTTCATTCTCATCTTCTTTTCCCTCTGAGGCAGTGCTATCTTGGTAGTTGTTTTTCACGCATTGACTTCTGGATGGAGTTGTGCTATATGGCAGTCTCCTGCTTGTGTTTCTTGAATGTTGGTCTTCTGACCACAGTGAATTGGCAGGGATTTTCTGCAGGGTTGCATGCCTTACGGCTTATGCTTTTGAGTTTTTCCTTCTCCGGGAAGACTCTGACCTTACTGTCTATCTTAATAGATTATTTGGCAGGGTAGGTGATTCTCAGGTTGGCTTTTTTTTTTTCTTTCAGCTTTCCGAAGATGTTACTCCACTCTCTCCTCTTTATGGTATCTGCTGATAGGTCTGAGCATATTCTTACCTGAGCATCTTTGTATGTGACTGTCTCTTGCTGCCCTTAAGATTTTCTCTTTTTCCTGGAAGTTGGATATTTGACTATTGTGAATTCTTCTTGGTTTAATCTAATTGGTGTCCTCTCTGCTTCCTGTATGAATGTCTGCTTCCCATGCATTAAGGTGGGGAAGTTTTCTTCCAGGAATTCCCTCACTAATTTAGCTGTAGACTTCTTCATTGTGTCTTGTTCTGGTAGACCAATTATTCTAATATTGTTCTTTTTTCTTTCTTTTTTTTTTTCTTTCTCTTTTTTAACATTTTATTAGGGGCTCATACAACTGTTATCCCAATCCATACACTCATCAATTGTGTAAAGCGCATTTGTACATCGTTTCTCAAAACATTTTCTCTCCATTTAAACCCCCATTAGGTCCTCATTTTTCCCCTCCCTCCCCGCTCCCCCCAATATTGTTCTTTTTCATAGCATCTGTCATTGTTCTTAGGTTTTCTTCTGCCTCTTTGGTGATCTTGTTTAATTGCCTTTCTTGTTTGACTGTCTTTCCCGTTTGTTGAAGTCTACTTGATTGATTGTCCTCAAGGCCACTCGTACGATTCTCCACCTCTTCTAGTCTGTTGGTGAGATCCATTTTATCTTGTTTTTTGCTTCTGGTACCTCATTCATTAGTTCTTGTATTTCCCTTTGATGCATGGACTTAATCCCCTCTATCATGGACTTCATCTTCTGTCATTGTGTCCTTATTCTGCGTTGCTTCCCTCATATCCTCTACTACTCCAAGCAGCATTCTTAAGATTTCTTTTTGTGGCAGATCAACATTTATTTCTTCTATGAGCATCTGTTAGGCTTAGGACTTCCTCCGCACTTGCATTTTGTTTTTTTGTTTTTGTTTTTTTCTTGTTGAGGTATGTTGCTGTCTGCAGGTTGTTTTGGAAGAACTGGGCACCATGTTCCTGGGAGACCAAGGGGCCCTGAGTTCTTTCTCTGTAATACTGGTAAGAGTGGTTTCGGGGACTAACTGGGGCCTACTATGGTGGTGGGTCAGACTGCTGTGTAAACTAGGTACCGTGGCAACTCTGGCTGGTGGCTTACCAGCCAAACTGAGGCAGAAAGATGAGGATATCTACTATCAGAAAGATATCCAGTCTCTGAAACCCTATTGGACAGTTACACTCCACTGTAGGGTTGGTATGATTCAGACTAAACTTGATGACAGTGGGTTTTGCAGGGGGAATTTTTGAGACCAGTCTTTGAGAGTCATTCTGAGCCAGAAGGGCTCTCCCTAGCTGTCTCTTTCCCTAAATCTCTCTGATAGACTAGTAGCATTAGGTTTAGCTTGTACAATCATAGGGCTGCCAGCATCCTCCAAATGGCAGACAGATCTCCGTTGATCCCATAGTGCTCTAAGGTTTGATCTGCACCACACTCTGTTCCTAATAGTCAGTTCCCCTAGGAAAGCCACAGCGCTCTCTGCTCTGTGCCCTGCCTTGCCCCTGGGCAGATGTCTGAGCCTCTGCCCTGGAGCTGGGGAGAGTGACAGTAGTCCACTTCTCTTGGAGTGACAGCCCTTCAGGGTGGTGGGCAAGGGTGTAGCCTGTGGTCTTTCTTCTGGCCTTGCCTCTCCAACAATGGAACTGTGGGTCACAAGGGATATTGGGGTTCCAATAGTTTGGGGTGGATTCTCTGCCTAAGCAAGGGGGCTGAGTGGG